TCAACAAACGCGGATGAGGCGTAAAGTGGTCCTCAGGACGACTGCTGAACCACTCGGTGAGATCGCCCTTGACGATCTGCCACACTCGCTCCACCTCACAGTTCACATAGCAGTCGGTACTTGCTTCCCTGCCCAAGAAATGCCACGCCTCGTCCGAGGTAAGCACCATCAGCCTGAGGCGTGGTGCACCGGATTGCTCCACACCGTCATCCCTTTCAAGGGTTCGGCCAACCGCCTTGTACGTCCATGACTGCGGTGGTTCCCCCTCATGCACCTCCATTCCCGTCCCCTCGCCGTCAGGAACTTCCATGACATGATGCCACCTCGCATCGTACGCAGAATCGTGGCCTTTCCGCAGCGCGCATTCTTCCACCCGACTGTCAAGAGCCCACATTAATTGCCGCACCTCCTCCACTCTTCCGCGAGTCGCAGAGGGTTGATCTGTGTCACCCTCAGACTCCGGCTTCGCTCTCCTCCGAATATACCCCTGCGGCACAGCAGACGCTTGATTTCCAGGCATTGCTTCCTTCTGTTCTTTTTAGTTGGATTGAGTTAAAGCTGAACAATAACCACCAAACAGGAGGAGAATAAGAGAGAGATGGGGTAACTAGGCACAGACATGACGGGCAGCCACAGCAAGAGAGTCATCCACACAGTGTGCGACGCACACCACATGCACGAGGACCACCACAACGACGGCAAGTGGGTGCCAACCACCCAGCACAGTGTTGGTGAGAGCAAACAACAACGTGGTGCACACGGAGGGTTCGTCCACGCATCCCGCTCGCCACGGTCCGCACCCCTGTGGCACCGCCGACACCGCACACACTCTGCAAGAGGACGTGGTCATATCGTCACTGACACACGAAAACACACACAAAAGTGGGAGGAGTATTCGGTGCAGCAGCGGCCACAGGCAAGGACTCCAAATCATACACGCCACAACAGCGGCGCATCGTGGTAAGCTCTCACAGGGAAAATATATGTATATATATATATATTTTTTTTTAACGAAAATTTTTGCAATTTGCACAGTACAAAAGAACCATGACGCTGCCTTCAATATTGCATTCGTCGTTCATATTCCCAATGCGTGGCCCTGCAGATATCACCCCTCCACGGTGAAAACAACTGCCTCGTTGTGGTGTCATCGCGCAGCAACCCGCCTGAATAAAAACAAAAGAAAACTCAGGCGTCCTTCCACCTGCAGGGAGAAAGGTCTCCACCGCAGTGTCCTCCATGACGCAAACACCCCACATCCAGTGCCCGGTGTCGTGTGCAGACTCCGCGAGGAGGTTGTGGGCACGCCACTGTGCCACACGGTGTGACCCCCTCGAAACGCAACAGCAGACGTGTCCCCTTCCGGTCGCACTCGTGTCAGTGGCGGCTTCCGCTGCCTCGCTGCGTGCTGGTGGCGTCGGTTACGATTCTGCAGTGTGATAGAAGGTGCCCGACAGGAGCGGTGCTGGGTTGGGTGAGCAATGCCCTCCGCGGCGAGACACACAGCGCGACTCCTGACCGCTGCACTCACGCACTTCCCTCCACTCCTCTCCCTCCATTCGGCAATCGCACAGCCGCCGGCACATTGTCCCCGAAGCAACACACACGTAAAAGCGTCGCGGCATATCTCCCAAGAGAACAGAGTGACGGCCACACGCTGCGGCCATCGTGCAGAGAGGTGAGCCCTCGGAGAACTTTGTTTTAAGACCCCGCGCCCCGCAGGGATCACCCACAGCAACGCACAAAAGTGCAATCAAAAACATTCACCCACCGTTACCGCCATCGCACATCTACAGAAGAGACACAAACACGCAAAAGGGCCAACTCCCGCGCGAACGCACAATCACGTGCACCAACAGCCGAAAAGAAGCGTCTCTCACCTCGTGCAGCATCGATGTGCCGGGCGGTGCTGGATTTCAAAGCAATCATGCTGCACGCGGTGCGCTGCACGCAAAATGAAGGAAACGCAGTGGACCCCCTCCCGGTGTCTCTCTCTTCTTCATGTCCACAGAAGAAAGCAGCAGAAGAAAACCAGCAGAGAAATGATTGGCGATCGTCCATGGACAGCGCAATATTTTGTGCATCGTGTGCGTGTGCCTGCATGTACGCAAAAAAAGAGGCAACAAATGAGGGAAAAACATGTGAATAGACACGGAAACACACAGCAGAGGTGCAGGGGAAATGGAGGAAGAAGAGGACTGCTGAAACTCGTGACTGCACCGCAGCCCCAGCAGCGGCAAACCACAATATATCTGCTAAATTAAAAAAGCATTGATATTTGTTTCCCATTAAGTATTCTTGCAGAAAATAAAAAAGAAGAGAAGATTTTTTCAGCCGCTCAAATCCCCGTGTCCACATGTCATTCATATTCCACTGGGACTCCCAGTGTGCTTCCGTGATTACCATTATTTTTTTTTTTTTTCATTTTCACTTTTCACCGGCGTAGCAGACAGTACCGAGAGCGTCGGCAGTCGATGGACAGAAACAAAAAAAAGATACCGCTCCGCTCAAGAGGTTTTTCCAAATATATAAAAAAGCACAAGAATGGGACAGGAAAGAGCTGCAGCACCCCAAAATAAGTAAAATAAATAAATGGAGAAAACGTTCGCCGGGCTTCTGACCACATCCTAAACACAGTAAAATGGGACGAAAAAGAAGGAATCAATGGGGAGGCAGCGGCTTCACCATACCCTCGATGTTTATTCCATATAAATATTATATTTGGACAGCCACTAATCGTGACACGCTGCACTCTATTCGGACAGAAGATATTTGGTACTTGCGACGTGGCAGCATTTAAAGTCCTCCAGCCACAAGACCCCGCCGCGAAGTGGGAATAAAAACGGGGCGGGTGGGACGGCAAAAAAAAATTTAAATAAGGAAGACATTCTTCCTATCGCTGTCAGCTCCTTCGCTTCTTCCGTCGCAATCATCGAAAGATTCATATAAAATAAGAAATAAATCGTCCAGTAATATCTTCTTCTTATCAGGATGTATTAAGTTAGGCGGCCAGCCCTCTCGTTAGCACTATTCTCACACGCTCACAGAAAAATGGCCGTCGTTTCCAAAGGTAAACAAAAATAAAATAAAAATAAGAAATAAAATGAAAAAATGTGCCCACAAGAAACGTCAATCATTTAAAGGGGTGCGTGGGGAGACGCAAATGCCCCCGCTGGAGGCAGGAACTCCTCGCTGCGATTTCTCAGTAAATGGCCGCAAAGCCGCACAGCCCCAGCAGCAGCAGCAGCGGAAACAACTGCGACACGCCCCCATGCGTGGAGCCGGCACCACTTCATTTTTTATCGTCGCTTTTCATAAACAGTTTCAGTTCATCGACAGTCAGTGGGCGGTTGTGCAGAAAGAGTTTTTCCACCGTCACGTCGATGGTTCCCGTCTTTTCTCCCCCAATGTAGAAGCGTGCGAGTTCAGCCCCCCGCTTCTCAGGTGTTGGTATCGTCTCCGGGCTCCCCACAAGCACACCATCCACGTACACGGATCCCTTGTGGCCGTACTGCAGCATGAGCGCCACCTGGTGTTCTTTCCCCTGCTTCCAACCGCTCTTCGATGGCGTTGTCTCCCCGTTGAATATTGTCAGCCAATTATTAAACTCGGAGTACAACAGTCCAATGAACTTCGTGCCCTGACGGTCCCCCAGAGCCACGCCAATCAGCGAATCGCTCCAACGCGGAGCCTCGTGGACGATCGCCGTCGCCAAAAGAGTGAAGTTGTAATTCGCGAAGCCGTACAGATTATGACCCTCCGGGTCCTTCACGGGCCATGTTGCCCCGGACCCAGGCCCTTTAAATTTGAACCCATTTTCAACCTTCGTTGCCTTCGTCACGGTTGCATTCACGCAACGGTACTCGTCGAGCCACGTGTCACCACTGGCTGCGCTGGATAAAAATCCAACCAGACCAGCCGTGGGTGTGGACGACTCGGAAAAGGTGGCGTCCACCTGTGCCCAGTTCCTTAGGACAAACTTGATCGTCTTCGGCTCCTCCGTCAGGCGGGCAAGTGGAATGGCACTGCCTTTTTCATTGGCCCCATCCTGTAAAAGGTGCAAATTGTAATCTGAGTACAGTATGGTGTTGGAAAACTTCAGACTCACAGCATTCTCCACAAAAAGCGGTCCAAAATAAAACGTGCGGTTGTTCTCCGTGACCCAAAGGTAGAGCGCATTGGCCTTTTTCTCCCCCGAGGCGTACCCTCTCTGAATTTACAGCATGACCTTCCATCCCTCAATGGTCGCGGTGACGAAAGCTCCCACATGCAAACTTTCGTCCCAATGGAATCCTGATGGTGCGTTGACCCAAATGCCCGGGAGTGTTCTGACAGCCTTCGTCCACGTTGCCCCCATGTCACGCGACTAGAACACACTCTGGCCATCCACACAATGAACAATCATGAGAATTTGTCCACTCTCCCATTCGGTGATGCGGGGATCAAGGCATCCCACACAAAAAATGCTCTCTGGAAACACCCAGTTGTTGCCTTTTTCCGTCGAGCAAGTGATCATGGAGAAAGGTTGATTTTTCCAACTTACCACCACCAGGGGAAACACAAGCGCGTCATTCTGCATCAAAATGCCTGAGCCACCAGCAGTCAAAAGTTCCCTCAGGTGATCTTGAGTGTGTGTAGAGATCTGTTGTGAAAGCAACTTGGGTTCAGCCCAGTTGATCAGTGTATTCTGCACGCCGTCCGTGGAATGCGTGGCCTTACCCACAACCAGTTGAATATCCCAGCCATCTTTCTCCCACATCTCATCACCACTGTCATATCCTACAGTATCGCTTCCCACAAGTAGAAACACCTTACTGCCCCTCGCAACTGCTGTGGGCCCGTACAAATAACACAAACGATCATCGCCATACCTACTGCCAATAACGGTGCGTGCCCTCCACTCCTTCTTGGTGATCTCAGAGACAATGGACGGCCGCTTCTCCGCAGCCTTGATGCACCCGGCCACAATGTCGTAAGACCGAATCCCAAACAGGTCATGTTTATGGGCGTTACAATCTGACAAGCCTTCAGCAATGGCAACCATCACCCCACCAGCACGGACAAGAGGGTGAGACAAATGATTTCTTCACCTCACATTGAACAGTCCCATCTCTTGACACCACCGGTTTCTTCTTCGGCACAAAAAAGTCAATCTCCGGAGCCAGTTGCACAACCCCAGACTTACTCTCCACAGCGGCTGCAGCTCCACTGCCACAGCAAACCATCACGACAAGGAGGAGCAGCACCGCGGAAGCAAACACACGCCGGGACATGTTGGGCCTCTGCGGCTCACTCTCTCCTCCTTCCCTCCTCCTTCCGCTGCATCCGGTCACGCGGCAACGGTTGTGTGTGTGGGGTGCCATGACAGCAGCAACACGTGAGAGCATGTAAATATGTGTGTGTAGACTGTGTGTGTGCTGTTGGTCCTTTCAGTGCCTTCGAATTTCACGGTGGCGATTAGCGCTTGTTTTCTTTCTTTCCTAGCGTGTGTCTGTGTTCAAGAAGTGGAGAGTACAGCAGCAACAGCGGCAATACACCAGAAAGGTCAGTGAGGAGCAGAGCACCCACGCAGAGAGCGAGGCACGAGACAATCCGGAAGGGACGGCACGGAGGACCATCGCCCACAGAAACAAGCAGCAACACGGCAAGTCACGGCGGGCTATCGGTGTGTGCGGGCCAGCCCTCACGCGGTGCAACACGCCACACCCAACAGGGAATGACAGACAGACAGGCGGAGGGAGATGAATGGATGCCGCCAAGAGGCACTCACAATCAACATGGCCCGTGAGCATGCGGCCACTCCACGCAGGAACACAGAAAGAGAAAATGACAGGGGGAAAAGCAAGAAGCAGCATAACACACACGGAAGGAACAAAAGACAGGCAGGAAAAGCATCGCCAAGGGCCACACCCTGGCAGGCGACTCCACACTAGCCCTCACACACACACAGAAACACCATCGCAGTGCCGTCAGTCCGCGGGTAAGAGGATTTGGTCCTCCACACAACAAACGCACACACCGCCAGCAATCATCCACCAATAGACAAGAACAAGAAGAGACACACCGCCACCGTCTCCAGTTCTGTCCCACGACCAACGGGATACGGCCACAGCCCGCTGCCGGCACACAACGCACACGGAGCAGGCAATCACCCAAAGAGACACACGCGCAGAAGCGGATCCTCATCCATCCATGACGCGGCGCCTCACTCCATGCAGCCACACAGAATGCGCCATTTCTCCAATAGATCTTATTCGTCGTCCATCCCTTAAAAATGCTTCTGTTATTGATGGGCCTTAGAACACAATAGAAGAAAATGGACAATGCAGTAGTACTGCGACACCGCCAGCCACAATGATTCCCTCATACCGGGGCAATTCTCCAATTATGCCTCGTACGCACACACAATCAACATACCATATAAAGATCACCCAAGGTTTTTCACCAGAAGCCAAGCAACCCCTTTCCCTCCCCAATTTCTTCTGTCACTGTTATGTTCGATAGCGTTGGACATTTTGGCATTTGTATGCTATGCTGCCGCACGGGGCTGGTGCACCCGCACCGCATGCTCAGACACAAGCATCCAAAAATACATAAATCCCACAATATTTTTTACCACAAATCAAACTCTCTCGTTCAATTTCAATTTCCTAATCTATTTTCCTATTATTATTTATTTTTTATTTTTTTTTTTTGCACACTTCGGAGAGCTTCGTCTCTTCTAAAGTCTCTGGACGATATTGACACTTGGTACTGGCGCACCTTTTCCCTCCAGAATGCCGCTTTTTCACGGCCTTCATCGTCGCTCACATTATTGAATTTTACAACATCACATCTCTGCCTGTCATTCATCGGCGTGCTGTCTGCGTGCTGCACATAAATAATATCCCACGACATGTCTCGGGATAACTCCTCCCAACCATTAAAATATGCCGCCAGGCACTCCGTGAACTGCCCCACAGTGCTGGCGGTGGTGTGGTGCCCACCCGCCGTAGCCATCCGCAGCCCAAACAGCGTCTTCCGCGGTAACTTCAAAAAGGAAAAAAAAGTCCACCAGCGGAAAGTTTGTGGCCCACGGTTTGTACAACAGCCGGTGGTTTATACAAGTATTTGTATGGTATTCCATTGCAGCCGATCCACATACAACTCGGCGGGGTGGCCTTCAGGGTTCGCCTTCAGCACCGCGCACTGTCCTCCACGGCGTGCTGGTGGCCTCAGTTCCTTGAGTTCCTCTACTAATGCACCGACAAACTCCCCCAAACATTAATGCGCGCAAGCCAAACCTTCCCATACATTCAGACAAAAGAGTATTCCTCTTCCCCAATACTAGCAACAGAACTAAATCCCCATCACTCATCACGTTTCCCGAAATAGTGCGGTATTCGACGCCCGAGGCAAAAAGATAT